AGTCCCTAATATATGTCTTTTTTTGTAAAACAGCATATCGATGCTGGGTGACACGTCTTCTAATAATAAGAAAACTTAAGAAAATAAAATACGATATACATTATGCCGACGTCTTTTAACGCCGTTCACTTGAAGAATGCACGAGATGAATCATTTGATTTGGGCAATGGACAAGCTAAACTTTCCTGCATGGTGGGAGGTCGATAGTTAGTATTTATTTTAGATTGATTTAAAGTTTATGAAATAAGTGCGCAGATGAATGAATTATTACTTATGATTGCATGTGTTTATCCCTGTTTTGGAACGTAAACATTGGATTCTCGTCGAGCTTCAGCTCCCATCCTTTAAGACAATAGTGTATGACAGCATGATAAATTACATATCATTGGCTGATTTAAGATATTATTAGGGATGGAGCTCTCATTTGGCTAAATTCTTGGATGCCTCTCGTTGCTTGGCGTTGGGCGTTTGACGACGGGAAGCACCAAGTATCTACCTCCCACCGATAGAGATAGAGCTGCATAGGCTTTGGTTTCGGCTTATATGGCTAAATCGATATATACGAGACGCTGCCTGCATCCGCGTTATAAAAATGTCCATAAACAATTGGTAATTTATAGACTTTTGGTTTGAAAATGTTTGGTTAATACCTAGAATTCAATAATTGTTGTTTGTAGGTTTTAGATGTGTAGAAAGTGTTGTTTGAGCAAATGTTGGTTCTGCAGGTTAATCTCAGAATGAACTGCGAGAAAATGATGTATGGCTGCAAAAGTTGATTCAATAGTTTAATTGATTGTTTTTTGATTGTTTAATTGATTTGTAAAATTGATTCAATAGTAGATGATTGGAATAGAATTATGCTTATTTTTTGATTGTTTAATTGATTTGTAAAGATATTTGTAAAAGTTGATTTGTGTAATTGATGCGAACATAATTCTTATTTGTGCTTGTTAATTGATTGAAATGTAATGGTTGATTTTGTTGATTTCAATCTGCATTATGTTGAAGGCAAAATGACTATCGCAATGCGAATGATCGCATGCGATTTTCATTCCATGCGATTCGCTCGTGCGATTTTCATTCGCATTGCGATTTTCATTTCCGTATTGCGATTCTCTCGTTCGATTTTCATTCGCATGCGATTTTCATTCGATTGCATTTCGTTGCGATTTTCATTTCGCATTGCGATTCTCTCGTTCGATTTTCATTTCGCATTGCGATTTTCATTTCCGCATTGCGATTCTCTCGTTGCGATTTTCATTTCGCATTGCGATTTTCATTTCCGCATTGCGATTTTCATGTTGGGATTTTCATTTCGCATTGCGATTCTCTCGTGTTGTAATTTCCGTGTGCGATAGTCAAATGCATGCCTAATAAGTGATAACAACTGAATAACAAGAGTTGGTTAAGTCAAAATGGTTGGCCTGAGTCATAATTCAACTGAAAATGTTAAAAGTTCACACATAAATCCACATAATACAACGTTTGCATTTAAAATCACCTAAGTTAATAGTCCCAAAAGGTGAAGCCAATGTGATTGGGATTTTAAAGATGATTGCCTTTTGCTTGACACCATATGAGCTTTGGATTTTGATGAGGATCCATATTTGGTAGAGGAAAAGATGATTTTGATGGCACTGGGATCCATGTCAACCTTGTATGACCACTTTCCTTGCACCGACTACATGTCGATCTCTTCTCTTCACCCTTAGACGGTATACGATCGTGACTTTTGGTCGGCCAGGTAGCCTTCTGTCCATGGCTGGTGGCAAAACTGTTTGTAAGTCATCTGGTATGTCCCACTCAGAAGGATGTGAATAGGGTAGACAATCTCGGCATAAGTCTGTCGATAAACTTCTGTAGTGTAGCAATCCATAGCGTATGCGCTTGAATCATCTTGGTTTAAATGAAGAGCAACTTTTATAACATGGCCACACGGATAACCAGATGTTTGCCATTTCATACAACTACACGTCTTTGCATTTAGATCGACTAGCCCATTTAAGTTATTATCCAGTACTTGAAACAAAGTGTTTGAACATGGTTCAACTCTCCATGACGTTGACTTCACAACACGTTTCGTTATCTTTTTTTCAGTCCATGGTGTAACACGATGTTCCAATGTTCCTGTAAATTTAAATAACAATACTAGTAAAATATATAAATATGATAAGTTACGAATTCAAAGAATAATACCTGCATGGTTCTTTTCTTGTAGTACCACTATTGAATAGAGGCTCGAAAAACTCCATTAACATAGTAATGGGTAATTTCCGGGAATGACGACTTAGAGCGTTGATTGATTCTGCACTATTAGACGTCATGAAACCATATCTTGCTCCAAGTTGATGTACTCTTGACCATCTTTCAAACCTGACATCTTCTAGTGTTTGAGCACACTGAGCAAAACACGTCTTAAACAATTTATATGCTTATTGAATCCACTTCCCGATAAGCTTTTACAGCCTTCCAGTATGTCCATTTGTGTTTTTTTATACCAGCAGACCTTGATTTTAGATTTCTATACAAATGAACACCACAAAGTCCATGAAAAGCATCTGGAAACACCTTCTAACAGCGTTGTCAATTGAGTTTGCCCTATCGGATATGATTGTCAGATTGCTAATAGGACCTATGCAATCCCTAAGATACCCCATAAACCATGTCCATGAATCAGAGGTTTCAGATTTGCCAACCCCGTAAGCTATTGGCAATATCCCATTGTTAGCATCCATGCTACTGCTAATAAGTTTACTCCAAGGTATCGACCTTTCAAATGTGCTCCGTCAACTATAATAACTGGGCGCATGCAAGTAATAAACGAACAAATCTACAAAATAATACACAAGAAATACAATCATTTAAATGTGAAATGCATGTAACTAACAAAAATGAGTCAACAAAATTATATTGATTTACTACCGTAGCACCAATGGCGATAAACAGCAACTCAAAGTGTCCATCTCTATCTGTTTTGATATGAGTTACCGACCAGGATTTTTCAGCTTTAAATTGTGACAATAAGCCGGCAGTTGGGCAAACGATGCTTCTGGCGACCCCCTCAACAATTCCAAGGCATAACATTTGGCTCTCCAAGCTTGAGAATATGATATACTAATCTTGAACCGAGCATTCATGTCAGTCATAATTTCATGTCCCCGATATACCCTGCCATTCAAAAATTAACTCAGCCAGAAACCACCCAACACCTTTTTGTTTGCCTGTCTATGGTGAGGAAAAACTTGGGTTCTTGAACATGTATGTTTATCAATAAAAGTCCTAACTTGAAACATTCGCAATCTTTTATTCTCTTTGCAATCATACGCCACGTACAGTTTTTGTCAATCATACACCTTGTTTCGAAACGATCTTTGCTTGATTTGTTAACTTTTAGTTGATAGCCATCTTCCACACATTTCGTATACAAAGCTATCTTCAAGTCTTCCTTTGTATCAAAACAATCATCTTTCTTGATACGAATAACTTTTGTGTACAATCAACTGCTTTCTTTACCAACTCTTCTTCCGGTATCTGAAGTAATTCTGGCATATTCCAGTTATACGCCCGTGGCATTTTCTTTTCTTCGGGGACTTTTTCTTCTTCTTTTTCTTCTTCAGGATTATATGAATTACAGAATGGATGTTCAACATGTTCATTCACAGTCGTAACTTCCTCCTCATTATCATCAACAATACATTCTTCGGCAACGGCTGTTTCATCATCAAAATTCGGGTATTGACCAATATCAAAATCATTACACGCATGGTCTGTTTCTTCTTCTGAAACATCATCAAAATCCGTGTATTGACAAATATCAAAGTCCGGATATTGACCAAGACCAAATTTCGAATACTGACTAGTACTCACAATTTTTTCTGTTGGCTCATCATCGTCTAACTGGTCAATACGAAAACCGGAATTTGGTGCTGAAAGTTGATTGGGATTTGGATTAGAGAAAGGTTGTGGGTTTTGAGAAAAACTTAGTTGATTACTACCCGCTACTGACCCAACAATACTACTTCTAGGTTCAACAACATACAATGTAACATCATCTTGTGAAACACTAATGTAAGCAATGAATCGTTCAACATCTTCATTGTCGTTAACAAATAAACTTTACCATTTCTCTGATAAGATAGCCTAAATCCACTTAGGGGCTCTAAATTCAATTTATTTGAAACACGTAGCATTAGAGTTTCATAAGTTAACTTTTGTAAAGACAATTTTAGTTGAAGATTCATGGGTAAAGGCATATATTGTAAAACACCATGAACATTATCCCATGACCCTCCAAAACACAAATCTATCCAAACATGATCAACATTAGATGATTTCATGGTTGTAAATTAATTTACTAAACAGACGAGCTGCGAAACTAAAACCTGTTGTCGGATTGGGAAGGATGTCGTTGGATATAGGAACGGATGTCGCCGGAGAGAGTGATAGATGGAGATGGAATGAGTTGCGATTTAGGGATTTAGTTTATGATTTGCTACTGTTGCGTAGTTATATACCCAAAATTTCAGTGTTGTGATTTACAGATTCTCGTTACGATTTACGGATTATCGTTGCGATTTACAGATTCTCGTTGCGATTTACGGATTATCGTTGCGATTTACGGATACGCGTTGCGATATACGGATACGCATTGCGGTTTACGGATACGCGTTGCGATTTATGTGTTCGCGTTGCGATTTATGTGTTCGCGTTGCGATTTTCATATTCGCGTTGCGATTCTGAAAAATCGCAATGCGAATTTGTACTATCGCATTGCGATTTTCAAGAATCGCGTTGCGATTTTGGAAACTGATTTGCGATTCTGGGGATCGCGTTGCGATTTTTATTTCGCGTTGCGATTTTGTTGGTCATTTTGGCAAATCCAAAAAAAATTGGTTAAAATCGTATATTATAAGGTATTTTTGGTCACTGAGGCGATTTTCTCTTTAATGAATAGAGGAGGGGTATAAATAGGGATGGGTTTGGGCGGATGAGACTAATTAATTGGGGGGGGGGGGAGTGTGAAGGGTTGAAAAATAAATAAAAGTCATCATCCTTTCTGTTGCGTGTTATAATTGCATGAATTTAGCTTTTCTGTAAAATGATGCTCGATAAAATTTTCTAAAACGGTGTAACTAAAATCTGTCAGGGTATTTTTTTTGGTTAAAAACGCCCAAAAAGAGAGGACAAGAAGAAGAAAAAAAAACCCAGAAAACAGCTCAAACTTAGAGGTAGAATGAGGGGATTGTCTTGTTTTTGTTTTGTTTTTTTATGTTTGATTATTCTTTTCCTCGTATAATGTCTCCAAATCTCCTGATTTCTTCCATTCTTCACTTCCAGGTATGTCTCTCTGCCTTCATATTCCTTTCACTTTTTCAAAAACTTGTTCATTTTCCTCAGATCTATCCCATGTTATTGATTTTTCTTCAAAATGGTGATCTGGGTTTGCTTTATTTTGTCACGTAGACATTGATTTTACTTCTTCTTAAGGGTGTTGTTAAGCAAAAAATGGCCATTTTCGTACTTTCCTTGTATCCTTTCTGTATGGGTCTGTTGATGTTGAGTAAAAGTGTAGGCTAAGGGGAAAATTATGTAATTAAGTATTTTAACACACATCGAGCTTCACTCTTTCAGTTTGAAAATTTCTTCTTGTTTACATTAGATTTAAAAAAAAATTATTTTAGGAAAAGAAAATAGGATGGGAATTCACTTTCCTTTTTTCCCCCTGTGATGTGAGCTGTTATTTTGCTTCCTTGGCTTTCTTTTTTATGGTATATTCTTAATTGGAAAGTATGACAATCTACAGTCTATTTTGATTGCTAGCCATAAAAGGAGCCTGAAAATATTGAATCGACATATTTGATCTTTGGGAACTTTTGTTACTACAGCCTTGGATCTCAATCTGTTCATTGATTTTGTTTCGAATTGTGATCTAGGTATGCTTAGTGTTTTTTATTTGGGTTTATCTTTTTAATGACGATGTTAATGATCTCTTGTAGAATCTGAGTTATTTGACTTATAGTTTGATTTCGTAGTTCCTTCATCTTTTTTAACCATTCAGGAAGAAAATAAATAGTCTTTTTAGTCGTTAAAATCTTAGTGAACTACACCAGGGATTCTGGTTCTTTTTCATGGTTTCAGATCTTCATGGTTCTCTTCACTTCCGTTCTACATGTTTTGCAGATAAACTCCGCATAATAAGATGGGATGTGTAGTTTGAGGATCTAGAATGCTTAGATAGGTTTTTGTGAAATATGTGAACAAAGACCAAAGTTGTCTCGGCTCAATCATAATGAAGATCTTAAACTTGGTTTTAGGACGTCATAGAACCTTTTAGAATATTAAACACCAGAAGATATGGTTCTTATACTTTAATTTTTTTTGGGGAGTCATTTCATGAAACAGAGGGTTATTTATAGTTGTTGAAACACTGGGATTGTGTTATATGACTCTTCATTTCAACAACTACTAACTTATCTTCGAACCTGTTTTCCAGTGCATTAATTTGATCTAGTTGGTCTATTCAATTTTACCTTTAAATTTCCATTATCTTTGTCATTGTTTTTCATGTCACTGAATTTTTTCATTGAGATTCATGATTTCTGCATTGCTGCCATCAGTTGTTATGATGTATCACATTCGAAAGATCTGACTAAAATTGGACTCGACTATTGAACCAACTTATGCTTTAGCTCAAATGGAAATTTTGCGATGGTATTAATTATTAGATTTCTCGTGCTGCTTCTTTGTGGGGAAATTTTATTGTAACAATCTTTCTTCGTATAGAAGAGTAATGTGCCTTTTCCTGCTGCTATATGAATGTTTCTGTGAGTACCTGATCAGTTAGGTCCATATCCTCTTATGCATGGTTCTTTCAATGCCAGCATACATCTCTGAAATCATTAGAATGGAACTATTCTTCTAATAGCTAAGGTGCTGTTTTTTCAGGGGGGCTTTAACAGACTTATCGGCATACTACTAGAAATCTTTCTTGTTGATTATCTTCTGCCTTGTACATAGGAAGCTAGATGGGTTCCAGATTCCCATCACATAAGCTCAGCAATGGGCTTTAATGTCAGGCAAGCCAGAGCAGCCTAAAGAAAGTACTCCAACCGTGAGCTCAGTGGCCATGCCCTATACTGGTGGAGATATTAAGAAGTCAGGAGAACTGGGGAAAATGTTTGATATCCCTACAGATGGTTCTAAGTCCAGGAAATCTGGACCTATAAATAACGCTCCTTCAAGGACTGGATCTTTTGGAGGTGCTGCTTCACAACCAATCATTTCGAATGCAGCACCTCGGGCTGGCTATACCACATCAGGTCCTATTGCTACTGGAGGCTTTTCTGGTTCAGCTTCATTGAAGAAGTCAAACTCTGGACCACTAAATAGACATGGGGATTACGTCAAAATTCTGGTCCTCTTCCTCCTGTTATCCCTACAACTGGTCTTATTACATCTGGGCCCATCTCTTCAGGGCCACTAAATTCCTCTGGTGCTCCTTGGAAAGTGTCTGGTTCTTTGGATTCTATGGGATCAATGAAAGTGAAAGGTTCTGCTGTTCATAATCAGGCTGTGAATATTCTTGGCCAGAGATGATTTTTCTTTCAAGAAAAACTTCCCGAAACTAATTATATGCACTGATACTGCTCTTTGTAATGGGTTTCATTGCTGGTGGTTTTATTCTTGGAGCAGTTCACAATGCCATTCCCTCATTGTTGTTGTGGCCCTTTTGGTACTGTTGGTGCATTATTTGCTTGGAACTCTTGTTGGGGGAGAAAAGCTATTATGGGTTTTATCGCTCGTTATCCAGATGCAGAGCTTAGGAATGCAAAAAATGGACAATTCGTGAAAATCTCTGGGGTAAGTAATATAATTTAATGTTCAGATATGATAATCTCATAATTGCTACTAGAAAATAACAATCTATAATCACATGATCCTATACTGTTTGAACTGTGATATTTTATTAAAAGATATTATTGGAGTGGAAGTCAAGCATCCAATTCAAGGTCTTACTGATTAACACGGGCCTAAATGTCCATTGTCGTAATCGGTTTTCGTCCGGGCACGAATTTTTTACTTGGCGGGAAAAATGATGTGAATAAATGGTTTTTTTTAAAAATAATTTGGGAGTCGCCATCGGCCTTTTGGATTAGGTAGGTCGAATATCTAAAAATCATCATTTAAAAGTGTTTTTAAGAAAACATCGATTAAAAGATAAACTGATAAAACGATTTTTAACCAAAAATTCATTCTTTTTAATAATAAAAAGGGATTCGTAGTCGGTTACGTTTAGGGAAGGATTAGCATCCCTACAATGCCCAAAATTGGTATTTTTTAATTATAAATTGTCTCTATTATTAGAAATTAAAAATTCAAAGATATATTTAATTTATAATTTTTTTATTTCAAATTTATAATTTTATGAAAATATATTAATATAAATAAGATATTTATTTATTTAGAAATATCAGAAAAGAGCTTCTAGGTGTTTTAAGACAGCTCTTTTCTTAGATATTAAAAAATAAATAATTAATTAAAAATAATTAATATATAATTTATAAAATAGGATATTTATTTATTTAAAAATATCAGAAAATAGACATCCAGTTATTTTAAGACTGCCCTTTCTTAATATTGAAAAATAAATAAATATTAAAACAAGATTAAAATAAGTTAAAAATAATTAAATAAGATTTTAATAAATAAAATAAATAGTATAAATATATATATTTATGGCTAAATTATAATAATAATAATAATAATAATTAAAAGTAAACATATAAAATTAACATATAACTAAACAATGAACAAAATTAAAATTATATATTTAAAATAAATAAAAATTGAAATTAATAACTAAATTGTAACTTAATAGAATTAAATACCTAATTCATAATTAATTATTTAAAATTTGAGTGACTAAATATGCTATTTTTCTTATTTATTAATTTAGTGACAAAACTAAAATTATATAAAATTCATATATCAAATTAAAATAAATTGAAATATGCTGTTAGGGGTTTAAAATATTAATTATTAAAAATAAAGGACTAAATATGTTATTTATCCTAAATATATTATTTAATATGAAGGACTAAAATAAATAAAATTAAAATTAAAGAACCGAATTAAAAGGATTATAAATTGATTTAGTGACTAAAATGTAAGGATTACAAATTAGGATGGCTGCGGAAAGGGTTTAACTTTTAATTAATTACAGACATACCCCTCCCCAAAACGGCGTCGTTCGGGGAGGGGTATTTAAGTCCCTCAACGGGCCAGCTCTCATTTCTCTCTTTTCTTTTCTCTCTCTAAACTGAGAGAGTTTAAACTCTCTCTCGCTTCTCTCTAGTTTCCCTCACCGGAGGGAAGCCGGTCACCGGGCGGCAGCCTTGCACCACCGCCAACCTCACCGTCGGCCACCGTCACTGGTGGCCGGAGAATACCAAAATTTCCCAAACTCTAAATCCGAGTACCCTAAACTCAATTTCACCCTTCTTTTATCCTAAAAAGTTATGGATTTTCCTAGATCTAAGGAAAATACCTTCGGTATTTTTGGTTCTCAGGCGCCGTTTGGGTTCTCCGATAAGGTAAACTCTTCCTTCTCTCTTCTCGGTTTGATTGCTGGTTGTTGTGAGTTGGTCTCTGTTTTTTTTTTCTATTTTTGCTCTCCGTTTTTCTCCGATTCTTCCTCTCTGTCCTTTTTTTTCAGGTTTGGTGTGGCTTTTTATAGCCACCACAGTGTTCGGATCGGACCAGTCAAAAGGGGGAAGCTTCGGTGAGTCACTATAGCTATGGTGGTGACTCACCATAGGGCTTCAATGTGTGTGGCTTCGTGGTGCTTCTGGAGGCTTCTTCGAGGCGTGGCATCATGGCAACGGCGGGCTTAGACATCTGGAAGTGGAGGCGTCGACAGTGTAGATGTGGGGCAGCTGGGAGCTAGGGTTTGGAAACCCTAGCTGAAACCCTAAATTGGTTTAGGATTTTCTTTTGGGTCTAGGCCGGTTCTGGTTGGGCCTTTGATTTGGGCTTGTAGTAATATTTATTAATAATAAAATAATAATAATAATAATATAAATAATATACATAATATTCAAATGAAAAAAAATGAGTATCTTTAGCTGCTCCTCTTTGCTTATTCTTGTGTTAACAAGAATAGAGCAAAGACGAAAAGATAATAAGTTTTTTTTTCATTTGACTTCACTTGATTATGATGGGAATGTTGAAATAATTCTTCACCAAGGGTTCTGATCTTCAAAAGGTAAGTACCCCTTCGTTTGAAACCTCATATCTCTTTACTTTTCAGGACCAACCAAATGAAAGGTCACTTCCAAAAGGGATATCCTTAGAAGAAGATCATTCCCAAAAGGTACATGTTGGTAATTTGTATTCCAAAGAAAGGCCTAAAGGAGATCTTGTGAAAGGGAACCTATTGGAAGAACACATTCATTCAAAGGATGCTTTCTTTTAGCAAAGGTACGTGAAGCTATGCAAGGAATGAATGATAATCACTTCAAAGGTTTCGATTTGAGGACAAATCTCCTTAAAAATGTGTCTCCACATCTAATCCAATCTCAAATACGACAACTTGGACCATATCATGTCGAGATGTTTAACAACAACCTGTCGTTCAACCTTAGTTGGTGCCATTAGTTTCTTGTTGTTAAAATTTCAGCTCTCCTTCTGTGGAAAGAAATCTTCATCATATCTCATCTTATAATCTTGAAGTTGAAAAAGACAAACTTCATCTTGGATCAATAAATGGAAACCATATGATCGCAATATTGATTCAACATCAGAATAGCAGGTTCGTAAAACACTTGACAGCGCATTCATCATTTCCTGTGGCTTCTGTTCAGATGTTCGTAAAACATTTGACAACACATTCTTCATCTCATGTGGTTTCAGCTCAGATGTAAAACACTTGACAACAATTCATCCTTTTCTGTGGGATGTAAAACACTTGACAACACATTCATCCTTTTCTGTGGCTTCTGCTCAGATGTTCGTAAAGCATTTGACAATAAATTCATCATTTTCTGTGGCTTCTGCTCAGATTTCTCAATTATTGAAGCTCTTTACCTATTGTTCAAAGTTTTTGAATGACGTCACAAGACCACTTGAGAACAAAACTTAATAGGAATTCAAGTGTAATGTTGGTATGACCAAAAAGTTGGTCAAATTCACAAAATGTGCTGGTGTCGAATTGAATAGGAGATACCAACAAATCTTGATATCATCTCTGGAAAAGGCAAATGTGATACTGATCATGCTTTCTTTCATAATGAGCATTGTAGAAAGTAGAAACACTTCAACTATAGGATCAATGTACAGAAAGATATCCGTGGAATTCTTGCAGCTGGGGATGAAACACACATGATAAAACCAAAATAGATGAAAACTCAGTTCATCTTGGCTAGCAATGATGATCCCAATAACAACGGGAATAACATTAATGTAAGTGAGTCGAGTCTCCCTTTCCAATGTCATCAAGTAAACAAAACTGATGTGAAAAACAGCTTCGTAACCTCAACAGTATGGTTGAAACTAACTGACAGGAATCTCAAAGAAATATTTTCAATTATCACCAACACGGATAATGCAAAATTCAAAGCTGAGATCTTGAGGAACTGAATCCTAGATCAAATGGTCTGCTTGGGGACCATCTTTATTCATGCAACCATGATGTAGCTTAACAAAGAACACGTTGTCATGTGATACATGGTTAAGAAGATTGGGTACTTGAAACCATACTTGCTGAGTAGATATTTGTTCAACAACATGATCATAATGTAACTACCTGATGAACGAAGCAATTATGTATAGTCAGCTCGACTGTCACTGTTTCACCATTTTCATTCTTCATATCTTTCTATCTCATTGGAATTTTTACTCAAAGTAATGATCTTTAACACATAATGATGTGGGCCTTCAGCATGCCCCAACATTTGCTGATATGAATATTCAAAATGTTATTCCAATTTCTGATTAAAATGGGTTTTCAGCATGCTCCAACATTTGTTGACGTGAATATTCAAAACGCGTCAATATTCCTGATTATGATTGAAATGGGTTTTCAGCATACCCCAACATTTGCTTCTTGTTGATATGAGCTTTCAAAATGCCCAAATATTCATACTGACGTGGGCCCTCAGAATGCCCCACGTGAATCATTTCTGTCTGAAATGGGATTTTGATATGCCCCAACATTTGCTAATACAAACGTTCAAAATATATCAATATTCCTGATTCTGATTGAAAGGGGCTTTCAGCATGCCCCATATGGATCTTTCTGAAGTAACCTTCAAAATGCCCTAACATTGCAATTCTGGTTTACTTTCAATGTCTGTTTGACTTGAATCTCATGATCCCTACGAGGTTCAATTTTGACAATGCACTGTTATGGGTACTTGTGGCTTTATTCGTACCCCAAATCTGTTTATCTTGAATACTCTCATTCTGGTGTCACTAAACAGCAGTGTTGTCAAGTAACTGGAGGAATTCTTCTTCATGTTGTCACACACTTAAGAAGTGCTTAATCATTCTAACTGAAATGTCTAAGATATGTGCCTCTTTTGAATGAGGTGTCCATTTTTTAGATATGTAGGGATCTAGTCAGACAGAGTAGTATAAATTGCTTGGTAATTCATTCCAGGCTGACATAGTGAACCTTGTTTTCAGTGAAGGTCATTTCTGGAATATACTTTTCTATGGGAGAGAAGCCAATTTATGTGAACAGTAATCTGATGCAATGACAAGACTAAATATACAGTGGTACAGGCTTTTAAAAAATCTGCACCCATGCAACATGTTGATTCTGATAACAACTCATCTGATTATGAAGCGATATTTCAGGATGATTTCACAAATATTGATAGTTCTTCTGATATTGAGGAAATCCTGAATTCTGATTCTAATGAGGAGAGTAAACTGTTATACTTGACAAAAATGGGATTCTCAGAGGCTGAGGCTTCAATAGCCATGGAGAGATGTGGTCCAGATTCATCAATTACAGAGTTGACAGATTTTATATGTGCTGATCAAATGGCTAAGGCTGCTGACATACTTCTTCCAGTAGAAGGTAGGAATTCATTATACAATAACCCCAATTACAAGCAAATGCGAAACTTGGGCTATGTTTTTTGAGAAGGAAGAAGCAGAGGAAGCTTGAAAAGAAGCTTCTTAATGAAGACGATCATGCAGTTCATCTTTCAATTTCAATGATTGGTTCTGGGGTTCCTACTGAACCAGATCAGATAACTCAAATAACACTTCCAGAAGATGCTATTGGGCCTTCTTATTTCTACTATGAGAAGATTCATCTTTCAAATCCAATGATTGGTTTTGGAGTTCATACCAAATCAGATCAGATAACTCAAAGAACACTTCCAGAAGATGCTATTGGGTCTTCTTATTTCTACTACGAGAACATGGCACTTGCTCCAGTTAATGTTTGGAATGAAATGTCACAGTACTGATGTTGTAAAACCAAAACTTGTAGATTCAAAGTATTTTCATACTGCTACACTGAAAATGGGCTATGTTCATAATCTGCCAATTGAGAAAAGATTTCCTCTTATTCTGCTTCCTTCATGTGCCATACATGATGCTTTTCCATTGACAAAGAAATGATGGCCTTCCTAGGATCCAATAACAAAGTTGAACTGTTTATAAACATGTACAGGAAGTGCCAAATTGACAGAAAGGATCTGTAAGGCTCTTGAAGCTTATGACAATGAGCCACCTTCGAGTGTCCAAAAGTATGTTCTTGATGAGTGCTGAAAATGGAATCTGGTATGGGTTGGAAGGAATAAAGTTACTCCACTTGAACCTGATGAGGTGGAAATGCTTCTAGGTTTCCCTAAAAACCATACATGAGGATCTGTATAGAGACATGTTCCATGGTGGTATCATTGTCCTGTCTCTTTTCTCTGGGATCAATGATGCAGAAGTTGCCTTTTACTGTCTTGGCATACTTTTGAAAACAGATGTGCAAGAACTGAATGATGATCAGTTGGAGCAATTGATGAGTAGTTTTGTCGAATTCGACCTTGTTATCATTGGCATCCAGCGTAACAACCTTACTGGAAGAAATAAACATCATTAGGATGAGCTAGACGATTTTTGTTGGTGCATTTCCTTGCAATGATTGCTACAGTGACTGTCTCTTTTGCTGTTTCAATATATCCCACTCTTTTCGAATCATGGAACAGTTTAGTTAACAGTAAAACTGGTTATCTTCAATTTTTGGAATCCTGTAAAAAAGGTCTATAAGGATATATTCTGTTCCAATGTCTTGTTCTGTTCCAAAAGTCCTCAAATTCAAATTCAGCAATCTTCTGAAGGACATAATGGATATCATCTTGACAAAGAAAATGATCGACATAGAAGAAGTAGAATTGATGTATCAAGACTTGAGCCAATACCAGAGTGCAGGTAGTGACTTGTTCATGGCTTTATGATGTAATCTTCTAGAGAACATGAATTGATGGTTGGAGAAAATAATCTGTCTGGTGATGCTTATCGCCCTCAGCATGAGATAAACGATAATCTTTCTTGATGAGCTGCTAATAATGTCATAGGAGAGTGTCATAAGTTCAATTCTCCAGACTTTCTGGCTTCTTGGACCACTTGCCTTCTAAAATGTGAAGTGCTTCATTATTCTGGCCTCGTTCATTCTTTTTCTACAACAGAGGTAGAATAAGCAACAATTGCTTCAAGGACCTTCCTTATTTGAGACTGTCCTGTTTGAAAATGTTTTTTCTCCTTTCTTTATTGAAGAATGAAAGAATTTTGCAAAGTATTACCTCTTTCAGATTCACAATATAATCGAATCATAAACAATGAGTTTAATGAATATCAAATAAATCAACTACACTTTTAAATCATTCAAAAATCATAGTCCTATGGCAAGTGTCAAAATTATTGACTGATTTGAGGTGTAGGTTGATTTTGGTAAAGTAGATTCTTTCAAGTTGGTTCAGTATGTCGCTTCGGGCTTCCACTAACTTGAAGAAATGGTTGTTATGCTTATCTTGTAGAGATGCTTCTCGTTTCCAGAATCTCAAGAACGTTTTTGAGATGTGTGATGCTTCATTAAGAGCTTAAGATCGTCTCTTATGTCGTTGTTGCATCATTCAATATTCGAGCCGCCTTTTCAGGTTTTCAACACGAATCCTCCTTTGGTTTCAAGATGTTATTTAAAAATTTACATCTTGAACCCCCCTTTTATCATTTTTTATATCATGCATTAAAGATTTTAAAAACCAATTTTTGCTAATAAAAATCAATCTTGAGAGGCGGAATGAATTCTGAAGATATTCTCTTTAGATGACTTCTTGCTTTGCTTGGCTTGGATCTGCCTTGTTGGGAATTTTTCCATCATCTGGATCCTTCTAAAATGCCAAATTTTGGATTCATTTCCATTTTTTCATATCTTCATCATTTCTTGCTCTTCTTGTTGAATATGAATATCTGAATTAATTGTACTTGATCCATCTTGTAACTTGAGGCTCCCTGGAGTCACCCATCTTGATTCAATTTCTCTCTTTTTTCTTTTTTCTTTTTCCTTTTTCCTTTTTTTTTCTTTCTTTTTTTTCTTTCTCATTTTTTCTTTTTCATCTTTTTTTTTTCTTTTTTTCCTTTCTTTGCTGAATTTTTCTTTTTTCTTTCTTTGATGGATGAGTATAAGACTTCAACTGTTTTGAATACATCTTTTTCCTTTTTATCCTTTTTCCTTCTTCAAGTATAATATTTCTTGACAGAATCTAAGTTTATTTGGTTTCTCAGAACTTTCCCATCCATTTCTGTTAAGATCAACGCTTCTTCGGAAAATGTCTTTTTTATAACGTATAACCCTTCCTAATTAGGCATCCATTTTCCCCGGAAATCATTATGTATAGGCAAAATCTTTTTTGAGCACTAGATCATCCTCTTGGAATTCTTTTGGATGTATTTTCTTGTCCGTTTATAATGCATTTGCTCATGGTAAATAGCTTTCAATTGATTCTCATCAATAAATGTTTAATTGATTAAATCGAGCTTAGATACATTCAGCCTTCTCCAATTTGTCCTCCTTTAGGATACAAAATGAATGGATCTTAACTTCAATTGGTAACACTGCTTCCATCCCATAGACTAAACAATAAGATGTTGCCCTAGTAAATGTTCGCACAGTAATTAATATGCATATAAGGCAAAAGGTAGCTTCTCGTGCTAATCCTTGTAAGCTTCAGTGGTCTTTGTAATGATCCTCTTAATGTTCTTATTTGCTCCTGCAAATGCCCCATTCATCTTTGGGTGATATGACACTGAGTTGGCGTGCTTGATCTGTGTGCGAAGTTAGTCATCTCATACATAGAAGTCTTTGTAAAAAGAGGTATCCACAGGGGGATGAATATTCAAGATTAATTTTACTTGCATGAAAAATGTAATTAATGTATTATATATTTATTTCAATCAATCATTTTCCTCTTCTTCTTTGAGTATGCCCTAATCACTTGAAATTATCATCAATGAGTTGGTCCATAATGCCTCATCTCATCTTTTCTTGCAGTAAAATTCACGGATAATTGAAAGTTTGGTTCTTTTGAGGTCTTTTGGTTTATGATGGTTTTGTGTTTGGAAGGATAAATGTGACTCTTAAAGTCATGTATATGGTGGAAGGGGTAATATCATAAACCAACCAACTCTATCCGAGAAGGTAAACATCTGGAGTAGGTGTCTCAAAAACAGGCAGAGACATTACTTCAGAGTCTCAGATAAATGTAGTGTCAGGATTTGGCTTTGGTAAGGGTCGAGTAATTGGCGTTGAATGAGATATGGAAGATATAATTTTACCACTTGCCAAAGATTTATAACTTGAAAAATTAAAAGAATATTTACTCTACTTGATACTCAATAATCTCAAGATTAAAATTTGACTCCTTGCTCATAACCATAAAAGAAACACATATTTATTTATTGCATAAAAGGTGTAGAAAGGAACAAAAAACAAGTTCAAACAAGATGCTGAAAACAGAAAGTACTACAGTGGTAGATAATACTTCCACTTGTTTATGCATCATTACTCCTCTATTGTTGGGTGTGTACTTGGCCCAGGATTTTTATCCTTATTTGCCCCCCATTTCTTGATCATTTCTTGTGTCAAGACTCCCTTGTCGACGAGCATCTCTATTTCCTTTAACAGTGACCAACAATTCCCTATTGAATGTCCAGATACTCCCAAGTGAAAATTACAGATGCTATTTTGATCATAGCAATGGGCATAAGGCTTTGGTGACACCTTCACCAATCTTGGTGTAATGTATTGACCTTTAACCAAATGAGGGTACATGTCTAAGATAGATTCTTGAAACACCTTCAGAGTTTTTCTCGCTCGCGAGGCTATCACTTTCTTTGATCGTTCTGAACAAATGAATGCTCTCATGTTATCGAGGGGGTTCTGAATGCTCATTTTAGCTATAACTGGGGTAATATTAACCAGATTTCTTAAGTTGTCCTTTGCCTTATTGGTTTTCGGAAAATCTGATACATGTATCTGAGGTATCTTCTGGGTTATATTTGCCTCATTCTTTCTTAGACCTATAGGCCAATCTCGAATTACATCCATGGGAGCCTTTTGATTTCTTTTTCCATTTTCTTGTGCCCGATATTCTTCGTAGGATTTGGTTACATTAGTTTCTGTTGCAACAACGGTTTCTGAACATTGAACCTTAACCCCTTCTTTTATCTTGCATTTTTGAATTGCTTGCTCTAAAGGGTCTTGGAAATTTCCCTTAAGGTTACCAGGAACCTTAGTTGAACAATTTGGAATTCCAGTCTGATTTATCCAAGGAACTTCCTTATAGGTCCAATTCTCATTTGGAGGCCACTGTGATTGATCAAGTTGTGGAGTAATTGATCTGTCTCAGAGCATTTTTAGATGCAATTTTTCACTCGAACAATGGAAGGGAGGAAATTGAAATCCCTGCACATTCTTTTTCTTCTTGATCACTCTATAAGGTTTGGCACTATGTTTAACTGAATAAGACCTCACTGTATTAATCCCAACTTCTTTCTTGACTTTAGTATTGTCAGAGCCTCTTATCTTGCCATTATTGATAGCCATTTCGATGATTTCTCCACTTATGATGATGTCAGAGAAATTATTAGGGACAACCCCTATCATGTGATTAACATAAGGAAATTTTAATGTGTTGATGAACAAAGTAGTGAATTCTTTTTCAGTCAATGGTGGATGTACTTGAGAAGCAACGTCTTTCCATCGTTGTGAATATTGTCGAAAGCTTTCATTGCACTTCATATTCATGCTTTGCAACATTGTTCGATCAGGGGCCATATCAGTCATGTGCTTGTATTGACCCAAAAAAGCTTGAGCTAAATCCCTCCAAGAACGTATTTGAGTACGTTTTAGCTGATTATACCATCTGAATGCAGACCCAGATAAATTGTCTTGGAAACAGTGGATCAACAACTTTTCATTCTCTACATAGTCAGTCATACGACGACAATACATAGTGATATGATATGAAGGGCATGTGGTCCCATTATACTTCTCAAAATCTGGAACCTTGAACTTTGGTGGAATAACCAGGCCAGGGACCAAACTTAGTTCTTTGGCATCAAACCCATAAAATGACTCAACTGTCTCTATAGATTTTATCACCTCTTCTATATTTTCCAGTCGTTGAGTGAATTTTTCCTTCTCAACTGATTTGTTTAGGTCAAGGACCTCATTATTAATACAAAATTCATTAGGCTTTAACTCAGAAGTAGTAGGACAATCAGTGGGGAACGATGCTCCAGCTTGATATGGTGAGTTTTTAACAGCGAAGTAAATCGGTGATTAAATTTCCTGGGGTACAGAGGTGAACTCAGGAATATGAACAAGTGTAACATCCAAAGAATTTATGGGGTTTTCAACAAGACTCTTTCCAGCGGTCTGGTGCTTCTCAATAATTTCTTTCATATTGTTCAGTAGATCGATATGAGAATTTGTTATATTAGCTTCAATTTGTGCCAACTTGCTCCTTAATTCCTCTTGTATTTGTTTTTGCTCTATCTCAAATTTGGATAGCCTATCCTCAGTTTCTTTAGACATTTTTCTTGTGTCGTGCTGAGCGTTCTTGCTTCAAGGAAAAACCAAGATCACTTCGTTTGAAATCCTTATTTTAATGAATGAATGTTTTAATGTATTATGACATAAAAATGCAAAGATGCCAAATGCAAATGTAAATATGTGAATGTAATAATAAGAATACAAATTGTGCAATACAAAAGCAAACATAAAAATACAAATGCAAAGATGCCAAATGTAAATATGCAAATGTAAAAATGTAAATTATTTAAAATACCAGAATAGGACATCCAGTTATATTAAGACTGCCATTTTCTTTGATATTGAAAATAAATAAACATTATTATTTAATTAAATATGTTTTAATGCATTTTAAAAATGTAAATGTAAAAAATGTACAAATGCAAAATACAAATGTATGTATGAAAAGGTGTTACTCAAGAGTGATCATCTTAGAATAGATTTCATTGAACGCAAAAGTTTCGGTACATCAAACAAAACTTTACATATAGGGATATATTTCATTCCTAACTTCTCCAAAGCCAAATTAGTCTATCAGCTTAAGGGACATATTGCTTGTCTGGACTGCAACTTCTTCCATGACATTCTCCTTCATCTTCTGTGTCATTTCTCGGAGTTGCTCATTTTCCCTTGTAAGAGAACCTTTCTGTCCAAGAAGTTCTTGAACAAGATCTTCATATATGTTGCAGTTCTTTTTCAGCTTGGTGACCCCTGTGATCCACTCTTTTGGGGTGTTTCCTATGCCAGCATTTTGAAAGGCTTGACTAATCTTCTGAAAATCTTCATGCATGGTTTTCATTTCTGTGCTCAATTTCTTGTTTTGGTCGTTCAAGTCCTTCAAATAACATGCTTGAGCTTCATAAAAACCTCCTCCACTCTGAATGCCCTGACTGATGCTCTTACCATAGACTGCTTTTGGTATCAATCTGGTAGGATCTTTGTGTAACACTTTTGGTATTAATATAACCGGTTCTCTATGTACAAAACTTCCCTCGATCCTCGTAGTTTCTTCAGGATGTTTTTCCTTGGTCGCATCATATTTTGTTTGATCATAAAACTTTTTGCCCATTTACGATTTCTTTCCAATTTGATGAACAGTCTTTCAAGTCAACACCTTTTGGTTATGCCATGATCATGCAATGCAAACAAAAGAAATCATATAAACAAATTATAGCAAAAATAACATGCATGGGAAAATAAGAAAAAATAAAATGGTTAGTACCAACTAATTGAAAAAAAAATTATTTATCATGGTATATAATAAATCCTAACCTCATGCTTTCTAGTTTCATGCTTTGTTTGGAAAAATTAATCTAACTGTATGATTACTAGTTCGCATGCATTTATTCAGGAAAAATAAGGAAATAAAATTAATTAAAAGCTAGAGTTTATTTCTCCTTTGTGTATTACCTATGAACAGAGGTTCAGTATTGTCTTAGATTAGGTGAATTTCTAGGGTTTATTATATGCAGAGTTTCAATTCTAGGAGTAAAGGTACTCGAATTGTCCTTGTTGATGCCCCCCTTGGGCTGCCAACCCTCAATCATAGTCCACTATAGACTTAAGCAGACCGAGTTCAATTCGAGGGGACACATTTCTCTATGCTTGACATGGAGAATAAATTCTCACGAAGACATAGAGCACATGAATCCCGAAAGTTACTTGCTAGGTCTGACACGGAGAATAAATTCTCACGAAGACGTCGCTTTCACTCCCACTTAAAAGGGACAAGCTTGATTAGAAAGCTTATGTTATGCAATGTAAGTGTTTGTGTGTGAGGAGAAATGTTCAAACCTCTAACAGACAAATAATAAAATTTAATACTTGAAAAATAAAATAAAACATTAATAAAATAATATAAATATTATAAAAATAATAAATATATATAAAAAATTTGGAAAGAAAGAATTATAAATTTAATATATGAATTTTTAATTTATAATTAATAGAGACAATTTATAATTGCTTTTTAAAAGCCTGACCGTCCCCAGTGGAGTCGCCAAGCTGTCGTAACCGGTTTTCGTCCGGGCACGAATTTTTTACTTGGCGGGAAAAATGATGTGAATAAATGGTTTTTTTTAAATAATTTGGGAGTCGCCATCGGCCTTTTGGATCAGGTAGGTCGAATACCTAAAAATCATCATTTAAAAGAGTTTTTAAGAAACATCGATTAAAAGATAAACTCTTCTGCGTTTTAACCAAAAAATCATTCTTTTTAATAATAAAAAGGGATTTGTGGTCGGTTACGTTTAGGGAATGATTAGCACCCCTACAACGCCCAAAATTGGTACTTTTTAATTATAAATTGTCTCTATTATTAGAAATTAAAAATTCAAATATATATTTAATTTATAATCTTTTTTATTTCAAATTTATAATTTTATGAAAATATATTAATATAAATAAGATATTTATTTATTTAGAAATATCAGAAAAAGGTTTCTAGGTGCTTTAAGACAGCTCTTTTCTTAGATATTAAAAAAAAAATTAAATAATTAAAAATAATTAATATATAATTTATAAAATAGGATATTTATTTATTTAAAAATATCAGAAAATGGACATCCAGTTATTTTAAGACTGTCCTTTCTTAATATTGAAAAATAAATAAATATTAAAACATGATTAAAATAAGTTACAAATAATTAAATAAGATTTTAATAAATAAAATAAATAGTATAAATATATATTTATGGCTAAATTATAATAATAATAATAATAATAATTAAAAGTAAACATATAAAATTAACATATAACTAAACAATGAACAAAATTAAAACTATATATTTAAAATAAATAAAAATTGAAATTAGTAACTAAATTGTAACTTAATAGAATTAAATACCTAATTCATAATTAATTATTTAAAATTTGAGTGACTAAACATGCTATTCTTCTTATTTATTAATTTAGTGACTAAACTAAAATTAGATAAAATTCATATATCAAATTAAAATAAATTGAAATATGTTGTTCGGGGTTTAAAATATTAATTATTAAAAATAAAGGACTAAATATGTTATTTATCCTAAATATATTATTTAATATGAAGGACTAAAATAAATAAAATTAAAATTAAAGAACCGAATTAAAAGGATTATAAATTGATTTAGTGACTAAAATATAAGGATTACAAATTAGGATGGCTGCGGAAAGGGTTTAACTTTTAATTAATTACAGACAAACCCCTCCCCAAAACGGCGTCGTTCGGGGAGGGGTATTTAAGTCCCTCAACGGTTGGCCCGAAGGGCCAGCTCTCATTTCTCTCATTTCTTTCCTCTCTCTAAACTGAGAGAGTTTAAACTCTCTCTCGCTTCTCTCTAGCTTCTCTCACCGGAGGGAAGCCGGTCACCGGGCGGCAGCCTTGCACCACCGCCAACCTCGCCGCCGGCCACCGTCACTGGTGGCCAGAGAATACCAAAATTTCCCAAACTCTGAATCCGAGTATCCTAAACCCGATTTCACCCTTCTTTTATCCTAAAAAGTTATGGATTTTCCTAGATCTAAGGAAAATACCTTCGGTATTTTTGGTTCTCAGGCGCCGTTTGGGGTTCTCCGGTAAGGTAAACTCTTCCTTCTCTCTTATCGGTTTGATTGTTGGTTGTTGTGAGTTGGTCTCTGTTTTTTTTTATTTTTGCTCTCCGTTTTTCTCCGATTCTTCCTCTTTGTCCTTTTTTTTCCAGGTTTGGTGGTGGCTTTTTATAGCCACCACAGTGCTCGGATCGGACCAGTCCAAAGGGGGAAGCTTCGGTGAGTCACTATAGCTATGGTGGTGACTCACCATAGGGCTTCAACGTGTGTGGTTTCGTGGTGCTTCTGGAGGCTTCTTCGAGGCGTGGCATCATGGCAACGGCGGGCTTAGACATCTGGAAGTGGAGGCGTCGGCAGTGTAGACGTGGGGCGGTTGGAACTCACTGGAAGCGGCGGCTGGGAGCTAGGGTTTGGAAACCCTAGCTGAAACCCTAGATTGGTTTAGGATTTTCTTTTGGGTCTGGGCCGGTTCTAGTTGGGCCTTTGATTTGGGCTTGTAATAATATTTATTAATAATAAAATAATAATAATAATAATAATAATAATAATATAAATAATATTCAAATGAAAAAAAAATGAGTATCTTCATCCATTGTATCAAAAACCATGTACAGCGAACATATCGCAGCATTTGTTTTATGCACGTATGATCCTCTGTAACTGTTGAACTCCTCTAACTAATGGGAATTGCAATACTGATCGCTTATGCTTGTGTAGCTGTTCTTTTTGTTGAATCATTTAATTTTATCTGCTTGTTAATCTGTAGATGATATTGATTAATTGTTTGGTTGTTATTTTTGAAGGTGGTAGCATGTGGGAATGTTCCTCTTGAGTCATCCTTCCAAAAGTTCCAAGATGTGCTTATACATCAACTAGTTTATATGAGTATCGAGGATGGGATTCCAAAGCTGCCAATCCTACACATCGTCGTTTTACGTGGGGACTCAGATTGTTGGAAGTAAGCAATCGAATTGTTATTTTTATTACCTTTTCCTGAATTTTTATGAAAAATTGCTATTTCCTAGTTTCTTTGTGTTTACAATTCACAGAAAGGCTTGCCCTTATTTAGAATTTCAAGTTGCTGATGATTCTTTTATGCTTTAAAAAAGCGAAAAGGAGCAAATCTTTTTATGGCTCACTATGCTGTGAAGTGGTACATTACTCTCTGGTTATAGGTATAGCTCGGCAGATAGGCCAAAATTTGTGTGTAACTATTTTAACGCTCCATGTGAAAGATTTGTTTCTTGTGTTGTCTGTGCAGTTTAGTAGATATGTTACTTTGAACTGGGTGTGGTGGTTGAAAATGAGTGTTTTACATATCATATTGAATTTTTTTCTAAGTTTCATGTATTTGGAGGTTCATATCCCCATATCCATAGAGCATATGCGTTGGATTCAAGTGTTGGACATGCGTACTATTCTCCAGGTTTCTTTCTCTTTTGAATCTAACCTTTTCTATGTCATTTCAACAGAGGCGGTCAGTTGACTTCTATATCTCAGATTTCCAGTCAGGGTTGAGAGCATTAGTTAAAACAGGGAATGGAGCATCAGTGACTCCTTATGTGGATGACTCGATTGTTATAGATGTCAACCCAGCCAGCGCTACATTGTCTCCAGAATTCATCAAGTGGCTGGGAGAAAGGAACCTTTAAAGTGATGACCGTTTAATGCGATTGAAAGAAGGGTAAAATTCTCTCCTTTTTGTTTCACCATATATTGAGTACTTATGTTACTTGCAGGAACAATAAATTGTATCTCAAAGGTCTCTATATTTCACTGATGGCTAATATTGGATATTCTTTGAAGTCATCTTCTACAATTCATCCTTTTCAGGATGGTTTTTTTGTTATATTTTCTAGGTGTGCAGATTAGGTGACTATTTTTTTTTATATGTTATGTTATGAACCTGGATCTGAAAGTAAAGCTAGAAGTATGGTGGCTTAGCTAGGTGTGGCAAAATCTAATTCAACTCGAAAAACCATATAGAACTGTTTGAGACCAAACCCTGATATAATATGATTGCCTGAGAAAGTAAATGAATTTGATAAAATTCGAAACTCTAAACCCGAAGCAACTTAAATCTGAAGTGGTTTGAGCCTGAAATTGTCTCCAAATTTCATATAATATGATTCCTCCAAGTATAGAATGTGATTCTAAAATCAAATAATATGGAAATGTTTCACTTTCAATTAAGTTGTTGCAGCTTTGGGGTGCTTCCAAGTCGAAGAATAGTTGTAGCACTTCTAATGCGATACAATTGTGTTTGCATTGTAGATTATGGTTGGATGCGTTCGGCAGATTGCGATGACTATTTGTAATTGCAATCTTATGTTTGTAGATATATCGAGGGAAGCACAGTTAGTGTCATGGGAGTCGTTCAGAGAAATGACAATGTTCTTATGATTGTTCCTCCGCCTGAACTGACTACAACTGGATGCCAATGGGCCAAATGTATCTTCCCAGATAGCCTTGAGGGTGTCATATTGAGATGTGAAGACACATCAAATAATGACGCCATACCTGTTTAGAACCATGTGCATTGTAAACTATTTTTAATCTACAACACAAATTATTATCTTCTTTTCTCTTCATATTATTCCATTAATATTTTGGGGGATTTGGTAAGGACAAGCGATGAACATGAAAGAGGCTGGTGGTGTTTCTTATCCTTTTAACTCGGTGTATAGCTTTTTCCAGGTTTCCTTGCTGTTAGTCTCATCTTGTAGGCGCTGATGCTGGTTTCGTGCAGTTGCGGATTTTGTGTTTGACAAAGGTTAAAGGGAAAAGCAATAGCAAGGTTCTTCAAGTATATTCGTGTTTTTTTATGTTGACAGTTATACTTGTAAGTTTGTTTGCGAATGGCAACCAGAATTTGATGAACTGATGACTTTGGGTTGAATTTCATATTTTGGTTACTTGTGTAGAAATTACTTCTGTTTTCATCGACCTGGGATTTTTTACCCTTTAACCATTTGGAGTTGGAATGCCTTCTTCAGAATTGATTGAATTGTTTAGTTGATGACTAGAAGAACTGAATCAAATTAACCAATCTATTATTAATCCAAAATTTCTGTGAAATAAACAGAAAAAGAATGACAACGCGGCTTTGAATAAGTTCAAGACTTAAGTCGCAATCTAACTTTTGTTTTAAGAAAAGAAAATGTTGAAACTCAAATTTGGGGGAGCAGTTATTGTTAGAAATTACAAGCTTTTATGTATTAATGGAAAAAAAACCTTATCTATAATATCGCAGTTGATTCTTCCAATAGAAGGCCAAGAATGCAACATATTCTATTTCTTCAGATTTTGCACTTTCCCTTTCTTTATTACCTTCCACAAAGCAGCTTTGGCTTCCTCCAACGTTTCAACAACTTGTCCTTCTTCAAATGATAACCTCTGTATGTTGAACTGAAAAATGGAATAGAAATAGAATTGAATAAAACTGACATACCACCCCCCCCCCCGAGCCTCCAAAGAAAAAGCCATCATACGAAATAAACAATACCTGTGCACCTTGACGGACCCTTATGTCGATTCCTTTGCTGTCTATTGATATAAGAGCAGCATCATCAACCTCGCCTTCTGTTGATAGCAGCTTCCTGAGTGGCTTTGAAAAGGTTGCATTCAGTTCCTACAGTAAAAACAAAAGATGCCCAAATTAGCCTGGGAAAAAGAGGCATATTGACAAACTTCACTAGAGAATATGTATATGGGAATTAATTATTAGACTGTATTTTCAACATAAAAGAGAAACAAGAGCATCAAAAGAGTGCATATAATCTGTGCAAATAACAAAATTAAAACCGTGATTCTAAGGTTCACCTTCAGGTTTTGTTCGCCTCCATCAACGGCGATTTTATCAGGTTTAAGCATCTCATATTCCTTTACATCTACCCATGCAACGGTGCCAAATCCTCCAATGAAATATATGTCACTGAAATAAATTTTGATAAATAAATATTTCCAATGTGTGCATTACATGAAAAATTATATTTAGTACAAAATGTTAAAAAATTTAATACGCATAAAAGTAAAAAAAATGGAAGCTAATTAACTGCTTTATCCACTACTGATTAGGTTTCTGAATCCAAAAGCATCAGGTTATTTTACAGTCACATATATTACACAGAAAATCAAGAGATAACACAATGAAACTTACAATCGTAGCACCAGATATTTCTTTACTTCTCCATGGCTCCATGCAAAACCATTTTCAGTTAAACCAAGTCTTTGGGTATAGTAGAACAACAAACTAAACATACAAGGCAACTAGAACATTGATTTCAAAATTCAATGAAAACTGTATCTTTTCTATTAATAGTCAGTAAAAGACTATTAAGACCAAAAGCTGCAGTCATATATGAAAATTATCTCGGTTCACAATGAACTTGGCCTGGGCAAGTTAGACTAGAGTGCCTACAAGCTTGAAAACTATCCCCACATTTTGTAAGGCATGCCATTGGTAATAGGCAGCATAAGACAGCCGAACTAAGAATCCATCCCCCAGCACCAAACAAATTAACCAAACAAATTAACTCTACTAAATGTTATAAGAAGTGCAAGACTAGAGTGCCTACAAATGTTATTAGCGGTTTCCAAACAGAAGTATTAGAAAGAAAAACATGTCATAGATAAGATGCAATGCATTGATAATTAGCCTGTAGGCTTTCTGAGAAAACAACCTTATGTTCTGCATCCTGTAGTAGTAGAAATTCCCCCACTGTTGTGATGTCCCTTGTTGATGTTTTGCAGCGTACTGTTTATGAGCCCATTCCTAGCAAAATAACCAAGGTGAGGAAGCCTATTTTAGGCACGAAAAATATAGACATGCACAATACAAATCATGGAAGACATTTAGTGAACCTAGAGATAAACAGTAACATCTAAACATGTAATCAAAGAGAAGAAAGGGGAAAATATCCAAAATTGTGCATTCCTTAAGTAGTGAGGAAATAGAAGTTCCTCCTAACAGACATTCTCTACAAGCCAATAGAAGGAGACTCAAGGCAAGAGAACCATGCTCTCTACAACCATCTGTGAAGTGAAGCCATGAGCCTATGAAGTGAAAAGCAGAAGTCCCAATCTCTTTTTGCAAGTATCCCAACAGAGTATCAACTCACCCTCCTTCCCATCACCAAAAAAAACAGAACTACAGAAGTAAAAATGAATTTAGGTGAGCACCTGTTGATGTTCTGGAAGAGGGTAGACATCACCAAATATTGTTACCCTTGCATTTGATAAGCCACTCCACCCAGGTATCTGTAAAACCATCTTCAATATATGGACAATAACTAACCCATATATTCCATCAGAACAAAAGGGTCAAAAAAATTAACCTGCACGACAAGGGTGCATCTAGGGTCTGCTAATAAATTCCGCGTATGTATAGCCAATGGTGAAAATGAAAATACTGGATCTGCAGATTGAAATTGAAGATATATCAAATAAACCCAACAACTTGTACACAAAATCAACAACCATTACACAGCTGTCTAATTTATAGGCAAAAAAGTATGCTATTTTCATGAAGGATAAATGCATTGCTATGAAGGCTATTTCACTTCAAAAAAAATAAGAAACCAAGAAAGTTTAAATGCTATTCGTGGTGGAAAGAAATAGTAACCAAATAACAGAAATTCAGAAGTATACTTACGACCCACTGAATCAGAAGCAAAATCTACCAGCGAGCCAAAGGGATACCCTCCTCTTCGGTGGTGCATCCGAGACATTACAGTGCATATATGAGCAAATCTGGCCTTGAATTACAGATGCCAATAAATACAGGATTATTAAATTGCAGTAAAACTAGAAAGGAGACAAAGAGAGAGAATAGATCAAATTCTTTTTTTGTCAAGATGAAGACATGAACTCAAGAAATAGCTTTTACTTGTTCCATCAGATTGCGGACTGCTAAGGCCGGTCGGGGTAATCCATGTGCTGAAGTTGCACTCTGCACTCCACCAGATATTGGTGTTCTGAAAAGTCCAGCTCTTGTACCCCCATTGACTCCACTTGCATGTGGAGCAGTAACTGTGTTTTCAAACTTTGTTTCAATCTTTGTTAATTTATCAACACCCTTGTCGCTGCGTTGATTGTCATCTGAATCACCCTTCAGAACATGAGATAGACTATCAATACCGAGCTGAAGTAGCTACTTGATACATCCAACAAGTCTCTATGACATCCAATAAATTGAAAAGGAAAAAAAGTTCCAAAGATCATAAACTATAGTCACATCCTCACCCTTATAAAAAATCTTAAAGCCCTCAACTGATCCCTTGCATTAGACCCTCTAAACTTGAAAATTTCAAGCTTCTTAAGTTCCATTAGGTTTTCCTTTTCTTTTTTCTATTTTCTTCTACTTTCTTCAAGATTATAAATTTAAGAAACATTCAAACATATCATAAAAAATAAAGCCTGGCATTTTTCCTAACCCAAACTGAATTGTTATTTTTCAAATCATTAAAAAAAACAGTAGGTTTGCTTTTCTATCCATTCAAAAGCAAAGTTAGTGATTTTTCTCATATATCTTTCTTAATAGTGTAGAACAAGTTGTGGAGTAAAACAAAGAAAACATTGCATGAATATACAACTTAAGAAGAACCAAAATAAGAAAACAGAAGAGAAACTCAAAAAAAAAAACGAGAAACAGATTTAATCGGGTTACCTGAGATACAGAGAGACTGTCTTCAGAAACAAGGCTAAACTCAACATTGACAGTCCGAGGCTGCGGTCGGTCCTCACCTTCATCGGGGAGATCGTGAGATGAAGCCTTGAGACGAAAACAATGAAAGTGAGAGGTTTCAGGGTTGGATTTCAGAGTCTCAATTCGTCTGTTTGGCGCTTTGATCAAACAAGAAGACGATGAAGAAGAAGGAAGCAAGTGGCTGTTGAGAAAAGGGTATGTCTCGGATAGATTAGAGATGAACACTGAACTTGAAAGAGATTCCATTGGAGGAAAAAACAATAAGAAGCAAGGGGAAATAGAGCTTTTCAGTGTTTTTGTTTATAAATAAGAAAAAAATGATTTTGAGTCAGTATGGACACTGGACACTGGACACTGGACACTGGACACTGGACAGTCTTCTTTTTGAATTAAAAAGAAAAAGTTAAAAGGATACTGATTTCGGTGAAGTGAGAGAATTTTTGAGAGAGCATTTATGCAATTTTTCTCCTATACGTACTTTATTTTTCTTTTTTAGTGGTGTTTTCTTTCAAAAGTTTTATTATATTGCCATATCTAATTTATTTTTAGTTTTAGTATTAGCAAATTAATTATTTTTTAAAATTCGAGAATCGGATATAATTTTCAAAATAAATTCGATTCGTTCTCTTTTTTAATGAAAAAAGAAGAACTATGGTCTGTGTATTTGATTTTTTATTAGAAAATAATTAAAACTAATTATAGTTACACACTTGTTATTCCCATATAAAACGAATTAATTTAAAATTGTGTGGATTTCATTCCATATTTGTGAAGGAAAATACAGGAGAAATAAAGGTAAGAAATAATCATTAACAATAAACCATGAAAAAAGGTTTAAAAAAATGAAGTTGGTAACAGGATTGCTTACATACCAAATTTACTTCATAAATTAATTACTAATATTAAATAAACAGATAGATAAAAAAAATTATCAATTTAGAACTCTTATCTCTTGAAACACCCCTAGCATGAAAGTTGTTGTATTTATCAACATGATCACAAAATTTTAATTCATAACAATGATATAAATTTAAAATTTATATTTTTTATTTATTTGTAAACACGATAATACAACAAAATCAGACAACAGCTACTATAAACCATATTATTTCTGTGTATTAACCATATTTGCATGTTAGCATGAACAAATACAAGACACGGTATGTATATATAAAAAATTTATTCATGATCAACATGAAAATCTTATTAATTTTCCCTTCGTGTTTCATGGCATACTAGCTGTTGACACTAATTTTCGTCCATATCTTTTTAATTATTTATTTTATATATATATATATATTATATAGTTTGCAAACGATCTTTGAAAATACGTATATAATATATAGTTTTTAAAACATTTTTGAAAACTATATAATATACAGTTTTTAAAAAAACGTTTTAGAAAATATAGATAATATATAATTTTTAAAATCATTTTTGAAATCTTATATAATATATAATTTTGAAAACATTTTTGAAAATATATATAATATATAACTTTTAAAACATTTTAAAAAATACATATATTATATAGTTTTTTGAAACGTTTTTAAAAATACGTATAATATATAGTTTAAAAAAATATTTTTTAATTTATATATTATGTGCTTTTGAACATTTTTTATTATTATTTTTTTTATTATATTTCTAATTTATTTCTTTGTTTTTTTCAGTCCATGGTCCAAATCCAAATAGTCCACCGAACGGGCCTGACCCAGCCCGGATTCCACGCTAGGGTTTCCAATGTTTGTCATCAGCGCCGCAAGGAAGGGAGCGACACAGTCAGTGCACAGCGCACTTCCCGGCCACCAACGGGACTGAACCATCCCGAGGCGGCCGGCGGGGAACAAGGGATCACAACAGCCCGTAACAAGAACCCCGGAAAATCCGGGATCGACCCCAAGATAGCCGGAAACAGCCCCCATCGGGACTGTATAAATACACAACAGTACCCACGACGAAGGGAGAGGTATCATCGGAGGTATCATCGGAGGTACACAAAATCGTGACCCACAGGATCATCGGCCAAACACATAGAACCATTAACCCATACTGCCAAAAAAACAAAACCAAACACAGTACCATTACGAGAACAGTACACCAAAGAGACAACCACAGAGAACCATCAACCAAGTACCATCGATCAACAGAGATATACAGTCAGTAAATCAAAACCAAGACCAGAAACCATCATCGAGTACCACACAGTCAAAACACGACCAACACGACGCCATCACGAGACCATCGTCGAACATCAACACAACAAAACATAGAACATCACAACATCAACACAGCATCAACAGTACTAAATACACGAAAACAGAGCCAAAATAACATCACTGAAGCCAAACCCCAAACACAAGTAAAGAAATACATAAAAAGGCCGAAGCCAAGGGAAACCGAGAGCAGGCACGGCGAGAACAGAAGCGGAAAGGTCGTCGGAAAGGTAAAAGGTCGAGACTTTTTGTTTAGATCTACTCCAATAGGTGGGGTTTTTGGGGATTTTAGGCTTGGATTCGTGTTTACGGGGTTAAGGGGAACATCTTGCTAAGGTTTGGTTTTGTTTCCGGCGGCCGGGCGGCAGTGGACGGCGGTTCAAGCCCCGGAGCGGTTCCGATCATCTCCTCCGCTGAGAGAATTGAGAGAGACGAGAGAGAGCGCAGAGAGAGGAAAGATGGCCAAATGAGAGAAATGAAAAAACAAAACCCTATTTTCGGCTTTAAATACGAGATTCAAAACGGCGTCGTTTAACGAAGGATTGGTTTGCAAATAGAGGATTTTTAAATCCTCTCCGCAGTCCCTGGTATTTTGGATCGGTTTTCATTTTGGTCACTATTTGTAATTTTGACCTCGAATTTACAATTCAATTAATTTGGTCCCGGTTTATATTTCTTTTATCTTGTGAATTGGCTCCTAACTTTTTCATTTTTTTGCAGTCCATTTTAATGTCCAATTTGGCCCGTAATTCTATTTTTTTTAATTTGGTCCCCATACGTCTTACTGTATTTTATCGCTGTCATTATTATTATTATTCCTTCATATTTTTTGTTACTATTAAACTTTACCTTTTTTTTCTTTCTTTTTTCCTTTTTTTAATTTTATTTTTATCTATCATATTTTTCTTTCTTTGATTTATTTCTGTTTATTTATTTCTTTGTCACTTATTAATTTTTTTCCCCTTTTGACTTGTTATTATTATTACTATTTTTGTTTTCAATTCAATTAATATTTGTTTTTTGTTTTTTTATCTAACATTTTCGAGTTTTCTTTTAGAAGAATTTCAACCGATCAAAGGTAAGTAATTCGAATCGGATTTCTAAATTTCAATTTAAATTTTCTAATTTTCGTAATTAAAGACAACCGGCAAATTAATTGGTACCGAAAGGACGGTTCAAGGGTGCTAATCCTTCCTTGACCGTAACCGACTCCCGAACCCGATTCACTTCTGGTAAAACGCAGATCAGGTAAGATGGTATCCGACCTACTTAAATTCGTTTTAAAATGGTCGGTGGCGACTCCAATTCGTTTAATCCAAGTCGAAGCCCAATTCCGGGGCCCAACCGAAAGACGGTTTCGACAGCTTGGCGACTCCGCTGGGGACAGGTAAGTGAGTCAGGCCAAAATTAATTTTCGGTTGTCTTTTTATGCGAAAATTTTAATTTTAAATTTAAATTTATTTATTCGATTCCAATTATTTATCTTTGATTATTTTGTTTCAAATAAATAGTTGTACTGATGTTTTTTAATGATTTCAGATTTTTTTCAAAATTCTCATCTCTAAGCTCTAAACCCGAGCTCCGAACCCTTTTAAGTGGGGGTGAAAGCGACGCATTCGTGTGAATTTATTCACCGCATATGCCTAGCAAGTAGCCTTCGGGATTCATATACCTTATGTCTTCGTGTGAATTTATTCACCGTGCGGGCATAAGGGAATGTGTCCTCTCGAGTTTAACTTAGTCCACACAAGCCTGTGATGGGCTTAGGACTAAGGGTCTGGCAAGCCCAAGGGGGCACCGGCAAGGAGAACTCGAGTACCTTTTTTTAGAACCTAAACCAGGAGAGTGCAGGGAATTAGAGCCCACCCCAAGACCTCATTCCAAACCCTAGGATGCTTTGTTTCCTGCTTTATTTTTTGTTCAAAGCATGCGAACTAGACAAATATGCGGTTAGGATTTGTTTGAAATTAGCATGCGGGATAGAGATCATGTCCGGGTAGGAATTAAAGCATGCGGAGTAGATATCATGTGGGGCAGGATTTTTTCATTTTTTTTATTGTTTTGATTTACCTCACTAACCCTTTTATTTTATTTTTGTTCTCTTTTGTGTTCATCGTTTGCATCATTTAAAACGATGTGTTGATCCACCAAAAATGTGTTTGTTAAACATGAATAATTTGTATTAATGGACAAAGGGGTTATAATACAAAGAGATAAAAAGCTCAGAAGTCCAGCCGTGGTCAAAGAATACTCAGAGGCAAATGTTGCAGGGGCAAGACGAGGAAAATGTTGCTGGCCCAGAAACTCTTTTTGGAAACTACGATAACAAGTGGCGAAACCCCAGCTAAGCCGCAGACCATTATTGACAAATTCTAGAAACAAGTCGATAAACTTCGGATAAAGGGCTCCAATGGCACTTTCGTTTGGATCAAGCTCGACATAGGGTGAAAGTCGGAGATGCAGTCCTTCGAGACCCCTTTTGGGGCAAACAGCCCATCACCTGCACAAGTTTAGCCAAAGGAGCCGGAATGGTTCGACAGGATATTCAACCAGTGAAAAAGACGAATCAACTTGTCAGAAGCTGTACAGGATTTGTACCACCTAAAAAAAAAGTTTTTTGTCTCTTCAGATGTAACACTTTTGTCACCAATAAGGGTTATTCAGAATAACAGGCACATATTTTGGATCAATGCCTCGGACATTTCATGCATCATGCATTTAGACATTTTGCATTTCGTTATTTTCTTTGCATTTTGTTATTTTCTTTGCATTCACATTAACTAACATATACATGTCTCATCAAAAGGGGAGTAAATACTGGATACACCGTCTCAAGCATTGGACACACCCCATCCACATAACACTCGTTTGAAGAAGAAGAGGATGGAAGCCAGAATTACACAAATCGAGGAGAATATGTTAAAACTACAAAAAGAGCTAGAAGACAAGATAAACCAGAACAGTCGAAATACTCTAGAAACAATCACAAAGAACCAAGAGTCCTTGGTTGATCAGATCGTTGCCAAGTTAATTGGCCTACAACAGACCAGTGCGCCTGGGGCAGGTTCA